AGGTTGGAGGGAGTGGTCTTTGTTTTACAGAGCAGAGTGACGTCATCTCCCTCCATCACAGGGAGGACAGGACTCTGCAGGATCACTGATCCACCTCAACACAAAGACAAACTACAGCATTTCATCCATTTACACACAGCTTCATCAACACTAACTCCACACTCTGATCCACAGGTACCAACTTTAAGGGCTAAAGAGTGATACACACTTCCCCCCATATCTAAGTACACAATAAGAGCATGAAAGTAGCAGAGGGCTAACTTAGAAGAATGGCTGTGGGATCGAATTTCCCAGAGGAACCCACCCAAGGGATTAATAAAGTTCTATCTAATCTAATCTAATCTAATCATTCCATAAGTCAAATCTGAAAAAAGTTCAGGATCAGCTGATTAAAAAAACAAAAATAACCAATAACTTTAACAGTAACTATTTGAAGCCATTGCAATGTTTGAACCACATACTATGAAGTTTATATATTTCAGAGTCACAGATCCCCAGAATAGTATAAGAGTGGGCTGAAATTCACTTGGAGTATGTGCAGTTTTAACAGAATTTAAAGATTTTTTTTATCCCCAAAAGATCTTAAGATTGTCTTCTTTACTTAAATGTTATGGAGACTCAAACATTCAGTAAAGATAAGGTGACTCAAAAAGTGCCAATTTCCCGCTCAGCTCAATGTCCTTCAAAGACCCGTAACTCTGATAATAATGATGGAAATCCCAATAATATAATAAGTAAATAAATAAAAATTATATGTACAATGGCTTGAAAAAGTGTTTACTGCCTTCCTGAGTTCATATATTTTGTCACACTTTTTTCACACAAATTTAAACATTAGACAAAAACAACACAAGTAAAGAGACAATACAGTTTCTAAATGAAGGTGTTTATTATTAAGAGGATAAAAAATCTAAACCTACATGGTCTGTGTGAAAAGTTAATTGTGGTGTATCATATCTTTGGGAACCCTGATTACCGCCAAACTTTTTTAGATAAAGAAATAATTTAAGTAGCACCTGCCTGCAAAATGGAGTAGATCACAAGATCCTCAAAAGCCAGACATTATGCCAGGATCCAAGGAAATTCAGGAGCAAATGAAAAACAAAGCAATTGAAATCTCTCAGTTTGGAAAAGGTTATAAAGCAATTTCTGAAGCTGTGGGACTCCAGTGAACCAGAGAGAAAGCTATTATCTGCAAATGCCAAAAACATGGAACCTTGGTGAAGCTCCTCAGG